TTATGGGGACGTATGTGTTGTTGGCGATTTTGACACTTTGACCTTGAACTTGAGTGAGACTTTCAAAATCGCTTTCACATCCAGTCATGTGTGTTGAAGCACCAGTATCAAAGATCCACTTTGTTGAAGTGACAGTCGAAGAATTAGAAATAAGTGCATGGTCTGAGAATTCACTTTCATGAGCTGCAGCACCCGCAATTTCGGTTGGTTTTGGTATTCTTCGCTGGTTTTTCTTTTCCTGGTGTTTTTTCAACTTTTGGCAGCTGGTGTATAGGTGACCCTGGTATTTCATCTTTTTGGATTTGCACCAAGAACATTCTTTTTCGTCTTTCTCTGTAGATTTATAGGCTGTATTATCTATTGAATAATTAGTTGTACTGCCTGTGAGATCTAAGAGCCTAGATTGGACGTCTTCAAAGCTTGTGAGCTCTTTGGTGGCAAGATTATCGACGAGATTATCCATGGTTTTTGGCAATGAACATAAAAGAAATGCACCTTTTATTTCATCATCGGAGGTGAGCGTTCGGAGGGTTCGGCCTAAAGACGACTTCGTTGTTTGCGAGCGTTGTTTTAGGCGATTCCAGGAGGATGTAAATTTCGAAAGGTGATCAGGGATGCTTTCCCCATCGTTTAAAGAGAGATTGATAAAGTATTTTAAAAGTGATATCGTTGTGTTTGTCGTGTCGCGATCATAACGAGCCTTGAACAGGTTCCATGCTTCGTGAGCTGTGTGGCTGTCAATCACCACTGTTTGTAGATCTTCATCTACAGCATTCAAGAGTATTTTGCGCAGTTTAACATTTTGTCGCTTCCATTGTCTCCATCCATCTGAATCTTTAGTCTCCGGTTCTGTGATCTCCCCCGTTATGAGTCCGAATAATTCGCTGTCTTCCAACACAATTTCCCAAGCTCCTGCCCATCTGCGGTAGTTTTCGCTTCCGGTGAGAATAGGCATCCGTTTAAGGCTGGCTTGGATTGTTGATGCAGCTGGGTTCGACTTGGGTTTGACATCATCGGACGAGGTAGACATTTTGTTAGAGAACTGAATTTTAGATGGAAGGGTAAATACAATAGAGGATAAATGTTGACTTGAGCTTCCGGGCTATAACCTATTGCGATTTATGCTAAACCTGGTGGTGTAGTTGATCACAGTTTGAGAGTATGCTCTGAGTTGCAATGGTGGCTTGTTATGGATGCGATTGCGACAATACAGTTGAGGGTGGTATGAAAGTTGGCACTTCAATGGGTCTCAATTGTGTGGGGATTAATTTAATCACTGATGATAATTATGTTATTGTACTATCTACAAAGAATGTGTTACAGTTCTATGTGTGCCAGTAATCGCTTAGATCTGGCTAGTGGGTTGACCACTCTTTTACTTCACTCCCATGTTCTATCACGTGAGGTAGTATAACTGCTCACCACGAAGTCCGCAGATTTGAACAGCGTTAGATCACAACAGTATGTTCGCTTACACAAACAGTCGACCCTCCTCCGTCAGTACCCACCAAAGGGACGTTTCAAAACCTTTGGTTATCCAAGCTTGCCTTCGTCTTCCATGCATACCAGCACCGCGAGAAATGTGGTTGTGATTTGCCGGATTTGAACCAGCGATCTACTGTCTCAAGTGGGATATGTGTCCAAGCTATCCAGACTCTACTTGGCAGACCGGCCAAGACGATGTATCACCGCACCATCCAACCATGGCGATGTTTACAGTGTCGCCTACACTCTCGCAACCGAAGTCTTGGCACGCACAAAGCTCAATTTGTAAAAACTCTTTGCCAAAATTCCACGCCTTTCGAGACTGTATCCATCCTTCGCATCATCTTGTGAACTTGTCCTGATCCCTCTCACATCCATCCCAAGGAATTGTCTTCCAGATTTGTGCGCCACGCTTTGCTTCCTCCGTCGGGTGTAAATATCGGCGTGGGCGTGTATCTGGCGACCAGCTAAGGCCAGAGAAAGTCGAAAAGAGGTGTGGTCATTGGAATGAGGATGTACTAGGTCCTACTTGTAAACTTGATGAGGCTTAGGTAGGAATCGATTTGGTTGGGAGTGAAAGATTGATATGGTGTAGTGTTTTGAATCATTGCCTCGTGGGCCAACTTGTTCGATATTGCGAAATTTGACTGAACTTGGCTCGGGGAGAATATTTCACTCCCAGGTTCGTAGAGGACACCGCGTACAGGTGTTCAGTCTTGCCCTCCCACTCACTTCTTAGTAGCTCTGTCTGTAGCGGTGGCAGATTATTCTCCTCTCCAGCATGTAGATTTACATTTTCATACTGTCTGCAGTATAGTCAACAGAAGGCCCAGAGGAAGGGTGCTTTTGGTGCATTTTTAGATTGGGGCCCAGTTAGTAGATGCCGGGATCTTAGGAGCGTCGACACGTCGGGTCGTTTTTCTAGACTGAGCTAAGCGGCATGTGACCTTGGGAAACATGTTGCGCGCTGGCACGACGAAAGACAAACAAACAGCCTAATTCCAAGTGCCGCGAACACTCTACAAAGTCTGCGCAGGAAACCGGCGGCTCCGGGGATCCACGTGCGAGTCCATCTCCAGCTCTCAGCATAGACGGCGCTGACTAGATCATAGCACGAAGCATGATAGGTGGGAAAACGAGAAGAGAAGGGTCATTTTCCAACCACAAATAGGATTATGGGCTTTGGAATCTTGGGTATGGGAGAATTTCGGAGCATTTGTTTTCTTTCTTATAACTAGCTACTGGCTGTAGAGTGGGTTACACGGTGAGACCGAGTCGGATATTTATTTATTTATTTTTGCATCAGAGTCGGGCATGTGGAAAGCATGATCTCGCCCGTGTGCATCGGTCCTTGACTCCTGGGAGATGTAGCGCATAGCGTAGCACCTAAAAATTAAAAAAAAAAACAGCCTAATGCAAAACTATATAATAATGCGAGACTTCTAGGAGCTGCAATCCCACACTGGTATATATCTATTAAGGAAATAATGACCCCTCAGTCATTGAGGCAATAGATCGCGTTGATTCAAGTCGCTACCAAAGTGAAATTAAGTACAGAATCTGTAGTTACATGTGTATCAACAACGTGGCCTACTTGATAGCCCCGAATAATCTAGATCATAACAGTGTATATCTTAACACTCTCGTCCTTTTTTCGTCTCCAAACACGCCTATCGAACCAGCGAAGCATAGAGCCACTTGCAAGCCACCGGTTCTGAGGTTTTGCTCTGCTTAGTTTTGCGCTCAGCCTACACTGGAAATCTTAGGTTACAGGCATGAATTGACTCACCAGTCGACTAAAGAGGAGGATGGGATATCTGATTTTTCAGAGGATTTTCCGCTAGTTTTGTGAGGCACACGATCTCGACCATGGGGTTGCAGATGACCCCATCAAGACTCATGGCTGGATAGTCTTGTGGTACATCATCTAGGTTCCCATCTCTTGAGGAGTCAGGATATTTCGGACACTTATCCCGATGAAGACAGCAAATCGCAGGTGGGAATCCCACAAATCTGAACCTTTCTTCTGACCATGTTGGCTTTAATGGGTGAGAAAGACAATTTTAAACAACAAAAGGCTTTGGATGCTCATTTGGTAGGTTCTCCTTGGGGAAGGTTGACTGCTCTACAAAAGTAAATATACGATATGGTGGTATTTAAAAATGAAGTCTAGCTTATGAGTGACTTTGACGCCGATGGACTTATATTACGTGAATGCAAGAAAGTAATCATATATCATGGCCTTTGGCTTTGAACACATTGAATGGTAATAGGAGAAAAACGAAAACCATATCTCAAGAAAAGAATCAATACTAAATCCTTACCATAACCCTAAATATGACGCAAATTTCTTAACTTGAGAAACAAACTGAACTTAGTCTTCTGCATATTTCGCAAGCAAGTTGAAGTCTCTCTTACGACATTACGGTTTCATGTCGGTTGATACAGCGTGCTATAGGGTAGATCGAGATCGCCGTTCGCCGAGGGTATGAAAAGGTCAAGTGGTGAATACTAGAGTGATGGAAAGTCGACGAAGTACTATGGCTAGAAGGAAGCGGGTTTGCAAGAGGAATACTATAATGATATTATAAGATTGTGAAGCTGAAGAACTACTTTGTTGTAGCTCCAGCTTCCTTCAGTACAAATAATAATCTAACACAATTCAACTAAGACTATTGTAATTTCCCATCATGACTCAAACTGTGACCTCAACCATATCAATTCCAGTTGGCGCATTATCTAGTCTCACCATATAAGTGCAAGTGTTGAGGAAGAGCCGAAAAACCTGATCCGTGACCTTTATACTCGGGCATTCTGCCTAGACGCTGGTTCAAGAAAGTCTCGCCATGACAGCTTTGTTACAGTACCTGCTTTCTACTTAATTTATGGATGCAATGATATTATATCAAACACTTCCATGACCAAGCCCCATTTCTCCACACGAGACACTGTTGATCGGAGCTCATCTCAGAATTTGCAGCGGGAGTTAAAGGCCTCGATAGCTTCACTGATTACCTTAATGGTGAGTGGTTCATCATTGACGGCTTCGCACATGTATAGGAGATCTACCCTTTTCAATAACGACAACTACTTTTCTATTAATGTAGCTTTGAGAGATGGCTTGCACCAATAGTTTCAAGGTGTGATATAATTGTCACTCTAAACAACAATTTGAGGTCGCAAGATCCTACCTCGTCAACCACAAAGGTGTTAAATTTCGAGATACATGTATTCAGATTGCAAGTTGGGTTAGCCATACATTAAAAGAAGATATACAATATCAAGTGAATAGAATGTAAATGTCTGTCGCTGCAGTACTCTTTATCAGGCGTTTCCTTGTTTCAATTATTCAATTTGTTTACAAAATTCTACTTCAGAAGCCCAAAAGCTTTTCCACCCTTGCTAATGGATCCTGTAAATGCATAAAGTTAAAATAAATCAAGCCAGGCATAATTAAAACGTTGATCCTTCTTCTCCGTCCAAAATCTGTTTGAGATTTTTCCAGCTAGTAAAAGTTATGGTGTGTCAGCTAGTCTCTCATGGTAGGGAAAAGCTCTTGGATCTAATTGTAAACCAATCTTACCTTCAATTTGCCCAATAGCTTTATTAAACGCCTTAATCATCTCCATATACAGTAAATCAGGGTCTCCAACGTGTAGGTAACAATATGTAGTATTGCCAAACATTATCTTACGCAGCTCCTGGGCCAAATTCTTGAAATCAACAAAGCTACTTGAGAACTTGGTGTTGATAAAGTTCTCATAATTTATCTGAATATCATCAAGCTTATTTTCAAGGGCATCATCTGCATCTTTTTTCCGCCATGAATTTAAGCTGTGCCATCGAAGATCAGGGTCCCGTCCATACTCTACACATCCTGTTAGAAACACGTAGAAAAATGATTCTAGGTCGTAAAAATAAGACGAAATGAAGTCATAATCCCGCTCACATGTATTTCCTACCAACATCATCACTTGTTCAAGAGCCAAATACTTTAATGTGCCCACGGGATATTCACGTGTGCTCGTCTTACAAGTATCGTGGTCCGAGATTGAAAGATCCAAGTCTATTAACATTCCTCTTGATCTATCGTCCGCTGTTGGTGCCACTATAATGATATTATCTTCCGAAATATCGCTATGAATAATTTTCTTGTTATATAAGCCACGGTGCCCCATAAGTGCATCTCGCATGACAATAAGAAATTGCAATACCGATGTACAAGAATCAAGAGGACGTCCGTATGGTGATAGAACGGCTCTAGTCATTTCATATTCATCCAATGCCCTATATCCATTCGTTTCCACTCTTTCAGAACCTTTTGAGGATTTCTCGTGTTCCATTGTGTGCCAATCTTTTGGAATAAAAGCTGATAAATCTTCCCAGACATCACTCGACTTGTAAATTGTTTCTGATGCCACCAGATTGATTACACCCTTGACCTGGATAGCTTCTTTCAGTAAATCAATTTCGGATTTCCCTTCAACCCTGTGCCATGAATATTTGACCAGTAACTTCTCGTCAAGTGAGTAGTAGCAGGTGGTACCTCGTGAAACTAGATCACATGCCTGACTGGAAGGTTTAGGGTTTATCTCAACTTCTCTAGTCTGCCCAGGCTCACCATCAGAAATTGTTATGATGGACCGTCCATCAACTTTGCGAATCGTTGTATCGATACCCACTTCTTCGTCACTCATCAGTAGATATGAGCAGATAGCACGTACCAAAAATTGCTCATTGTTTTCATTACTTATATAGCCTGAGCTGTATGCACCAGTTCGATCGATCAGCCAGAATTCAATTACCTTGTCGAACACGTAGAACCCGTGCACAAATCGCCTGACTGGTTGCTTATTAAATATTTCCCGAATGAAAGCTGCCAGTTGTATAAACCTAATTTTCCTTCTATATCTTTCGGGTTCTCCAGAAAGCCCACCGAGCACCCGCACTTTTTCCCATGCAGGTAAAATAATATCGCAGCCAATACCTTTAATGTGAAAATCAACATGTCCCTGATTTTCATTTTCAGGGTATCCTCCTATTTTTGAGGAAAGATAAATTTTTCCACTCAGCGGGAGATCACTCTCTTTTTGGACAAGAGTAGGAAATCGCTCGGATGGTAACGATGGAATTCCTGAAAGCTGGCTCAAAAACAGATTGTTGAATGAAGCGATCCAATCCCATATTCCTTGCTCAGCCAAGTTAAGAGGGATATTCTTGGGGTTAGAGTCATTTTTATAATTTTCATAGCTCTCCCAAATACGCTTTGTCTGATCAGACCAGGCTTTCCCTTCGAAAAATCTATCCCAGAAACTTGAAACACATGTAAACGTCATGCCATTAAACTCCGATTCAATTACTGACGCGGGGTTTGCGGGAAAATGACTAAAACGTTTTGGAACTTTGCGTGAATAGAAATCACGGCTATCATTAAATGAGGCTTTGATCCTCTGAAAACGAACAGATTGAAGTACGCCATATGATAGGATTCTGCAGAGGTTACTGCAAGTTTGCAAGATGAAGAGATCTTCATAATCTTTTTCGATAGCGTAAATGATATGATTAAAAGTGGAGAGCTTATATTGTTTGTTCGAAATACCATTCACGTAGAAATTCAAATCAATTAATGGTGATCCATTGTGGCTGCCACTCAATTTGGCATATGGACTCAGTTCACATAAAAATTCTCTGAGAGCTGCTCTTTTATCTAGATAACCTTTAGCTTCCAGACGGAACCTATCTGCATAAACATTACCCTCTTTCTTGTAATTAGTTTGGAAGCGCTCCCGAATCGGACGCAATGGGTTCTCCGCTAGAAATTCTTGAAGTGCCAAGTTGTTTGACATGTCGTGTGTTTGGAGAAATAAATGAGTTAGTTCAATGTTTCACTTTGTAGATTGATGTTAATATCTACCCAACGTAGGAACGTTTGTGAATCTAGATCCGTGTTGGACACATGATGATCAGTAATAAAGCTCTTTCCTCGTCTGACATTAAAGAATGCACCCGTCGCGTATCCGCCGCCGATGTGAACAGGGCTGGCCTCACAGTCTCGTGCGCTAAGTGGGCGCTTTCGCTACAAACTGAAGAGTTTGCAGTTGTTTGGACGGAGGAACAAGTCCCTTGCAAGAAGTAGACTACAGCTTCCCGCAAGGCTCGCCAGTCTATCCCATCCTATTCACACTTTACATATCTCTTCTAGTCAAGCAGGAGGTGGCATGAAAATTAATCGGATTTGCAGATGATGTGTCCATCCCAAAAACAGGCCCTGATCTCCATGGCAACTGTGTGGCACTCTCCCGCTCGCTTGAGGAAGCTCTGGAGTTGGGTGAAGGAGAAGGTATTACTATTGACCCAGCAAAATCGGAGCCACAACAAATCTCTTGGAAACTGGCTGACCTCGAACCTCTGTCAATCCCTTCCGTCTTCTACAGAGATATTAGGGTCTCGAATCGAGTCGAAGTACACCTATTCATCCTCCGCAAAGTTGCTCTAACGGGGGCTAGAGCTATCATACCTGTACATCGGACTACGCCAATCCCCAATCTATACCGTGAATCGGGCCTCCTTTCTCCTGGCTTAGAGCTGGACTCTAATTCAACATTCGCGCCACTGCGCATCCGACGCCTGAATCCTAGACACCCACTCCGATAAAGATGTTATAAATGCAAGGTTACGAGAGGTGGATTGAATAAATAATTCATTGTCCTGACTTGGCGCCATGAGGCTCAAGCTGGTTTTTATCGGAAGATTTGTGCTTTAAGTAGGACAACCCACATGACGTTTTGAACACTCACACTCAGATTTCATCTGCAGATACCACTCGAGGTTAACCCTTACGGCTTAGAACCTCTTCCGTGCACACCCACCACAGGGAAAAGCGTGAAAATCCTGTGGCAATCCAAGTGTGCTTTCATCATCCCACAAGTACAATATCACCGCGAGAGAGAGTGGTGTGTGGGTCTGACTGGATTCGAACCAGCTTTCTCCTGTCTCAAATGGCGTAGGTGTTCAAGCAATCCAGTATCCACTTGGGAGAACGGCCCGAATGGTGTACCACTGCACCATCCAGCCCGAGATGGATTAGTTACACGTAAATAGCTGTACGTTCACTGAGACTTGTAGATAGTGGTAGGTTGAAATGAAGTTCTAGACTTGCTTGCTTCCATTCAAATCTAGAGAATCACTGCTATTATCTAAATATACCACATTATATGGCTTTCCATATCCACCGTCGCTCAGTTCCGTTAAACTCTGAGTCATCCAATTCTATTTCATACTGTTCTATTCTATCTGACTGTCGTCTGTTCTATTTTGACCATCTGATTCTGCGCCTCTGTGATTCACACTTACCAGATGTAGGGTTAGTTATTTCATCAATCACAATAAAACAGCCATATATTGAGGACAAAGGCTGAACACCTTTTAGTGGTGTTCTATACGACCCTGGGAGTGAAATATTCTCCCAGAGCCGAGATTAAGTCACGACAAAGGGTGAATTTGAGACTTTTCGTCGAGTTGGCGATCGAGAGGAGTGGTATTAGCTCATTTTTGGTCGAAAATCCGACTTACAGAGATTTCACGACTGTACAACTCAACGAAATCAACCATCTACACCCCAGATACAAACCGCAGACAGGCTGTAACCTGTCTGATGCTCGTATTACAAAAACCGACACCTTCACGATCTTTTTTCTTTTTCTCTGGAAAATTATTCCCAGCCAAACCCATCTCGCGGCCCTCTCCACAATCATCTCACCACCTACCAAAGCAATGCCATACCTCCAAAAGCCAAATCGCCAACTAAGAAGCAAGAAAATATCCGACCCTCCGCAACTGCCAGTCACTGTGAAGGTACGGTCGAAATACCAGCCTTAGATGCGTCTTCACCTCGTCCAAGGGCACCGGTGCCTCGGTCTTGAGCTCTCAGTCGCGTTTTCGACCTCCACGGTTAGGGGTAGGTCAGCGACGGGGCAGGGCCGGTGGGGTGGACATTCTACTAAGTTTCTGGATGACGAGATCGGCTGAAGGACAGAGGGATGCTGTATGAAGGAACTAAAGGAGATACAAACTTAGGAGGCCTTGGTGGGCGACTGGATGAGGCCTCTATTGAAGAAAACTACTCCTGGATGAGATGAGGAGATGCTGAGATGAGCCTAAGTTGCGAATGAATCGAAAGGTTACAGACGGTGAATGTGTCAAGGGCTCGGGCGCGTGGTGGCCAAGGCTGAGTAGGAATTTGCGCTTCCGCGCGTTAAAAGGGGGTTCTCTGGACGGTTGGGTTTGACATGATTCAACACATGGGTGAAGTCTGAGATAGTGCGGTCATTTAGGTGGGACGAGGTACAGTGCCTCTGGGATATAAAATGTTAGGTATAAACTGGGTTGTTTAAGGGATTTTCCCTGTAGGCGCAGTTGGGCTAGCCCGTAATAGGTTAGTATGTCTCTCCTCATTACCCCGCTCGCCATTGATAGATTGAATTGTTTAACGTATCAGGCTAAAGCCCTACACCCAGAAGGCTTAACACGGGTGCGTGTTCCCGGGGTGACCCACAAACACCACTGATGCTGGCTTAATGTGGCCAGAAATTTACATGATCTAATAAAGACAAAAATTTCACCAAAAACTTTTGCTGTCCTGACTTAACGCCCTGAGCCTAGCCAGACCCCGCTCGCCATAAAGTGTTGACTAAACGTCTTGTTCTAACAAACGCAAAGAGAGACACATTCTCAACTACATTTTTGACTGCACAACCCTTCACCATCAACACCACTATCAATTCATCCTCTATACCGGCAACCAATGTCTCTCGAAAAGTCTGCTTCAGAAACTAATGTTCGCAAGCGTCTAACTCGCGATCCAAGTATTGAAATAAGAGCATTAAGAAGACTTGGCTTGACATTACAACATATATCCGACGAAATTGGCTTCACAAGAAGGCGAGTGTAACTTGCGTGTGCTCGAGAGACTTAGAATCCTAAGCCTCGTAAAGGATGATCACCCAAAATAAGCGCGGAACAAGTTGATGAGCTTGAAGCATTTGTCCGGGAATCTCCTGAAAATCGACAGATTTGCTATTTGGAACTAGCAATGGGACCCTTCAGCCACCAGGGATGAAATGAGCATTAACTTTCAAATTCCCTCAATAAAATAGGTTACAGCAGATGCGTTGCTATGAAGATGTCTCCGTTAAGTGTGATTAAGATGCACGAAAGATGTATAGCGGTGATAAAGAAAAATGGAGGGTACACAAAGTGTTGGGATGGATCAGACTAATTCAAAACATGTAGCACGCTTTCATTTTAGTTGCGAGCCATACTGAGGGCTTCGTTGTATATTTTGTAACACAGAGCTATTATTTTTGAAATAGATGTGTATTTTTAGAGAATATCAATTGATTTTTTTTAATTTTAAAATTTAAATGAGGACTATTGTACAGTTCATTTAGAGTTGAAAACCATCCCCATAATTTAAACTTTCATGGAATGTCATTGGATAGTACTCCTGCTTGCATAACTAGTCGGTGAACTAGACATGGGCCTGCATGAAGACTAACCAATCTAATCGATATGCACAGGGATCTAACCCCAGTCATTTTGACAACTTTACCTTGGCCATCCTTAAGAGACTGTAGTTAATTGTAGCTCCTTGTAATTCACGACATTAGATACGTTCCTCTTCCTCACTATACATCTCTTTATAATAGTTTGCTGGTTTCAATTATTCGAATATTTTCACTAAATTCTACTTCAAGAGCCCAAAAAAATTTCCGCCTTTGCTAATTGATCCTGTAAATGCATTAAGTCAATAATAATCTAGCCAGATATATTTATAATGCTGATCCTTCTTCTACGTCCAAAATCTGTTCGAGATTTTTCCAGCTAGTAAAATTTATGGTCTGTCAGCTAGTCTCTCATAGTAGGGAAAAGCTCTTGGATGTAATTTTAAACCAATCTTACCTTCAATTTGCCCAATGGCTTTATTAAATGCCTTAATCATCTCCTTGTATATCAAATTAGAATCGCGGGGGTATTTGTAACAATATGTAGTATTGCCAAACATTATCTTACGCAGCTCCAGGGCCAAATTCTTGACATCAACGAAACTACTTGAGAGCTTAGTGTTGATAAAGTTCTCATAATTCGATTCGATATCTTCGAGCTTTTTACGGAGGATATCATACAGGTAACCTGTCTGCCATGAATCCAAGTTGTGCAATGGAAGATCAGGGTCCCGTCCATACTCTACGAACCCTTTTAGAAACACGTAGAAAAACGATTCTAGGTCGTAAAGATAAGAAGAATTAAAGTTATAATCCCGCTCAGATATATTTCCTATCTCAATCATCACTTGTTCAAGAGCAATAAACTTCGATGTGCCCACGGGATATTTACGTGTGCTCGTCTTACAAGTATCGTGGTCCGAGATTGAAAGATCCAAGTCTATTAACATTCCTCTTGATCTATCGTCCGCTGTTGGTGCCACTATAATGATATTATCTTCCGAAATATCGCTATGAATAATTTTCTTGTTATATAAGCCACGGTGCCCCATAAGTGCATCTCGCATGACAATAAGAAATTGCAATACCGATGTACAAGAATCAAGAGGACGTCCGTATGGTGATAGAACGGCTCTAGTCATTTCATATTCATCCAATGCCCTATATCCATCCGTTTCCTCTCTTTCAGAACCTTCTGAGGGTTTCTCGTATTCCAATGTGCGCATACTTTCTGGAATAAAAGCCGACAGATCTTCCCAGACATCACTCCGCTTGTGAATTATTTCTGATGCCACCAGATTGATTACACCCCTGACCTGGAGAGCTTCTTTTAGTAAATCAATTTCGGACTTCCCGTGAACCCTGTGCCATGAATATTTGACCAGAAATTTCTCGCCAACTGAGCGGTAGCAGGTGGTGCCACATGATGTCAGTTTTTCTGGCCGGATGATTGGTTTAGGGTTGATCTCAATCTCCCTAGTCTGCCCAGACTCCTCATTATCAATTGTGATCATGTAACGTTTATCAACTCTATGAATTGTTGTATCGAGACCCACTTCTTCGTCACTCATCAGTAGATATGAACAGATGGCACGAACCAAAACTTGCTCACTATTTTCAATACTTATGATGCCCGAGCTGTATGCACCAGTTCGATCAATCAGCCAGAATTCAATTGCTTTCTTGAACACGTAGAACCCGTGCACAAACCGCCGCACTGGTTGCTGATTGAATATTTGCCGAACATAACTAGCCATATTGAGAAACCTAGATCTTCTTCTATATCTTAAAGGTTTTCCAGAAAGCACAGCTACCACCCTCATTTTATTCCATATAGGAAGATTACTATCCCTGCCTATACTTGTGATAAGGAAATCAATCTGTCCCCGATGTTCGCCAAAAAAGAATCCACCTATGTTTGATGAGAGAGCTATTTTTCCACGCAGCGGGAGATCATTCTCTTTTCTAATGAGGGTGGGAAATTGCCCTGATGGTAGCGATGGAAATTCTGAAAGCTGGCTCAAAAACAGATTGTTCAATGAAGCGATCCAATCCCATATTCCTTGCTCAGCCAAATTAAGAGGGATATTTTTGGGGTTAGAGTCATTTTTATAATTTTCATAGCTCTCCCAAATACGTTTTGTCTGATCAGACCAGGCTTTCCCTTCGAAAAATCTATCCCAGAAACTTGAAACACATGTAAACATCTTGGATCTAAGCTCCGATATTGTCTCTGACACAGGGTCTGCGCGAGATTGAATATAACATTCTGGAACTTCGCGTAGAAGTAAATCCGGCTTATCATTAGTTGAGAATGAGAATCTCTGATAAGGAGGAATGTCAAGCAGGTCGCATGATAGGATTCTATAGAGGTTGATGCAAGTTTGTAAAATGAAGGGATCCTCGTAATTTTGATCAATTGCATAGATGATATGTTTAAAAATGGAGAGATCATATTGTTCATTCGAAATAGCTTTCTTCGTAGAATCGAAAAATATTACGGGTAATCCTCTGTCTGTACCACGAACATTACCATACAGACACAGGTCAGAGAGAAAATTTTCGATAGCTGCTTTTTTATCTGGATATTCTTTAGCTTCCAGACGGAATATTTCTGCTTAAAGATTACCCTCTTGGTTATAATTAGTTTGAAAGCGTTCCAGAATTGGACGCATTGGGTTCTCCGCTAGAAATGCGAGAAGTGCCAAATATTCAGACATCTTGTGTATTTGGAGATGTAAATGAAATAGTTTCAATATCTCAGCTTTTTGGAGATATTGCTGGTTGTGAAACATAGGAATGTTTGTAAATTTAGGTCCGCAAAGGTCACATGACGATTGGTCAAAAGGCCCTTTCCTCGTTTTAAATTACAGAACACACATTTGCGGCTGAGATACAAAATTCTTTTCAAAAATCTGCCGCCGATATACAGCAGAATCTCACCATGTTGATGCCGACTAGAAATTTTCACAGAAGGATTTTCCACCCTAGCCCTGTGACCCAACTCAAATATATAGATAGTCATCTGTCCCAGTATTTTCATGCCCAAGAAACTTTACCGCAAATGTATTTCATGCTGTGGAGCAGGATAACTTCCCTATAACCCTTTGTACATAAAAATTAAAGGCTTTGGCTATTCATGTTTGGACCGTCAAAGGCCTCAGGCATCCAGGGCAGTGAGCTTTGGCGTCTTATATAATGAAATGATTAAACTTTCCTTTGCAGCTATTGATGGTGACATGAATTAAGATGATGATTGTGATCGACATAGATTTCTATATTCTTTATTATACATGATATGCTCAGGTTCATAAACCTCGTGCCAAGCAACCAGATTATGTTCCTCCAGATCTAGATTCGTCAGAATAATTAATTACTCGGTAAAATTCTCCTAGTCGCAGTTATGTGTTTAGGATATTGACTAGGTTTCTAGTAACTAGTCAATGATGTTTCTCCTATTACTGAGACATAGTCATGGTTGATACAACAGGTACAAACAATGAATTGTGTCTGTACATGACGTTGTGATATAGTCATGATCGTCTGAACAATATCAACTCATTTATTTCACATCAAATAAGAATAAAAAGCAATAAATATCAAATTCATCAACACTGGTGTCCAGGCCATGAAGGTATTGCTGGAAATGAGCTAGCAGACAATCTGGCAATAGGTGGAGCCAAGAAAAAAGTCAAAAAAAAAGATAAATTCACAACAATTGCTTACTGTTCGGATTAGGTCCTGGTCAACGATGTCTAGCCTAATTGTGCTATGTTGCAGGCTACAGTTACAATTATTAATTGGGTCATCATCAGGGCTGTGAGTAGTTTCGGTTTTGGTGTGGGTTGTTAGATTGATACCTAAGCGTGTCGCATGGTAGTCAGACATGCGACTCGAGTAGCATATGCACGGTAAACCTCAACCCCAAAATGATGATACAAATCAGGCTATACATGCTACGTCCTGTATGGCTAGCGTGGTTGGAATATGGGAAATTTACCTGTAGATAGATAAAGACGTTGTAGCCCTCTGATAGTTGGGACAAGTCTTCTACAATATTATATCGGAATCAATACTAGCCTCCCATTAAGCAATCTCATAATCTATTTCCAATGTCTGTGATAACAGACATCCATATACAATGTCGACAACAAACTTCAAAGTCGATAACTTACCTTAAGCAGAAGGCAAAGGAACTGACTCTCAAAGCCTGGCAAAATGACTGGGAGACCCAAGTCTTGAGACAGGTAGGAGGGCTAAAGGACTGGGAAGGCTTTATCAAGTGCAAGCCAGGAAAAGATCACCTACCATCAAAATGAGACCATACAACTTCAGTCATTACAGTAGAATGATACAATCTTCATTTATACAAGCAAAAACAGGGATTGGAAATACCAGAGCCCATTTATTACGAATTAAAAAAGTGAAGGATAACTCTTGCAACTTTTGTTGGAAGGGAAAACAGACTGTTCAACACCTACTTCTTTATTGTAGTAAGTTTAAGACTGAAAGAAAGGAAGCTTTTAAAGGTATACTGCCATTAAGATTAGAGATATTGTTTAGTACAAAAATTGGAAAAGAAGCAACTCTGCACTTCCTTCAAAGCAGTGGATGCATGAATGCATCCAAAGCTGACTGAAAGGGAGGAGACTAGAAGATAAGTAAAGGAAATTGGGACTAAAAATTTGTATTTACACATAAAATAATCAGATGTGTCATAGCTAGATAGCTGAATACACTATGAATTGAAAAAAAAAAAATTTTCAACTCATGAATGAATCATGTCCCTACATGACATCTTATGTCCTCCTTAGGATTAGTATTAGATAGACGTAAAATAATAAACCAAACTACATTTGCGGCTTCAGCTCCACACAAGGCACTCTCTAAACCGAGGTCAGAAAGGGAAGTCAAAGGCCAATACGAGGCTTCCGTTGCACTCTACGCGGTCGAAAACGCACCGTAGAGATACAAAGAATTAGGCATTGGTCCTAATACTAAGATCACCATTGAGCTCAATCGTCTAGGGCGACTCACACTAGGACATCTTTTAGCTGCACGATCTGGACATGGTGATTTTGCAGACTACCACCGACGGTTTCAGCACGAAAACGCCATCCTTAACTGCCCGTGCGGAGAAGAGAAGTCGCCCGACCATATTTTCTATTGCCACCTCGGGCAGTACCAGGTATAGCTCTACAGGGCTCAGATCTTCAATCCCGCCATATCTTGGGCTCTTGCATCAGCGGAGGGAGTTTATGCATTTAATAGCTGGTCATGTAATAAAAGCTAGAGAGCTTTAAAGTGATATAACCAATTTTCCTATTTACCCACCTTATTTCTTTGCTTTGTATTCTCCATTGAATAACATCTGGAAATCATGAGAGACAACGGGAGGCCATTATTCATGTAAATTCAAACTTCGAGCGCAGGATAGTAAGATCCTGGTTTTCATATGCTATGTTGAGTCTATGTAGGCGCCGATACGTCGGGTAGTTTTATATAGACCAGCTAACCGGTACGTGAGGAGCTCATGTACTGTGCGCGGGCAAGACGTTAAATATCATAAATAACTAAATGAATAAATTACAGAGCACACATGATCATCTGTGTCGAACAACCTTGCAAAAAAACTTCCACCCAGTATGACGGCTGGTAAGCCGATAGATTCCCTGTAGCCTGTGCTATTCAACAACGACATATTCATAGTGTCAGCGCTAAGTTACGCTCGCATTGAAAGTCTGGAACTGCCCATGTTTGAAACGTTGTTGGTAACTAGCCCACACCTGGATAATGGGAGCACGACTGGAGGACAACTACTAATGTTTGGAATTGTGACGGGAACCCCGAGTTGGTGATGATAATGTCGATTTAATAAACTGTATAAAGAAGAAAGAGAAATCTAGCTACAACTAACGGGTATTTATAATATTCAGCCTCTCAGTGATTGTCTTGACTGATTTCTTCACCCTAGGCCGAATACTTGCCACCCAGCCACATATTATCAAGAATCACTACGCTGTGACACTGATCTGGCCCCTTGGCTGGTAGTGCCGTATCTTCCAGTTTCCTCTATCATTTCCTTACAGTCTTACAACATGAATCTTCAACAATACGCTTAGGTATCCACATAAGCTCAGACAACGGCCAAACCGTAACATAACCCCCCCATTTACCCTCTCCTCTTTTCTTTCCTTGACGCTGGCCCATTGTTTGTCTCTGCTGAGCCCCATTTTTTTTCCCAATCGTCGAGTGCTACGGCATCTTGCAAATTGATGAGAGATGTCCACTCTGGTTGCGCCATTCCAGTCCACTTTACTAAGGCCTGTCTTTCTCCCTTCCTTGTCCGACATCTAAGCACTTCATCAATTTGGTATTCTTCTTCGCCATCATCACCAGTGATAGGGCCTGGATTTTCGTCCTCAATTGTTTGAGACGGCAACGGATTTTCTTCTGCTGGTAGAAGCAAGTCGACGTGGAATCGATTATAAATTCTTCCAGGGATATCAAGTTGCACTACTTCTGGCGAAATCAGTTTTGTGACAGTATACTTTGCATGTTGCCATCCCAACTTCTTGGAAGGTTGATCCTCCAATCTAATGTTTCGCAGTAGTAGTCAAACTTTATCACCAACTTCATACCTTGGTGCCGGGTGTCTCTTTTTATCTGTGAAATCTTTGTAACGTTCTTGAATAGCAGCCATTGCGGATTGCATAAAAGCCGTTACATTTACCAATCTCTCGACAAAATTTTCAGCCCTTTCTTTTCCTGTAGATGTAGGAATTGTTGAATTTTCGTTAATTATTTGGATGGGATTAACGTGGTACCCATGTGTCGCAAAAAATGGGCTCAAACCACCCAAGGATGCCACGTCCCTATTATTTATCGCTAGTTGAGCAGCAGCCAAACAATCGGACCAATCGTGTTGAGTATAGGAAACATACGCTCGCAGGTAAGTTTGGACTTCCTGGTTCATTCTTTCTGTTGCTCCATCAGTTTGAGGGTGGTAAGCTGCGCTCAGTCTCTGTTGAATTCCAACTAATTCACATACCCGTCTCCAAAATTTACTCGTCCAATTTGTCCCTCTATCGCTAGTCAAAGCCTTTGGAAATCCATGGTAACGCCAATGACATTCTAGGAATCGTTTAGCACACGTTTCTGCATCCATCTTATCCATTGCTTCGAGTGTTACTGATTTTAACAAGCGATCAGTGATCACCATGATATTTGTTGAGCCATTTGACTTCGGTAAGTCTACCATAAAATCTATAGAAATTTCCTGATGAAATCTGTCAGGTACGGGTAATGGTTTGAGAAGCCCCAATTTTTGGTGTCGCCAAATTGATGATCTTCCGCATACATGGCAATTTTTGCAGAACCGCTTGACTGATTTGCTTATCCCTGGCCAAAAATACTCTCGAGCGACTTGAGCAAGGGTTTCATC